ACCAGCGCCAGCAGCAGCAGCAACAGCAGCAACAGCAGCAGCAGCAGCAGCAGCAGCGATCGCAGCGTTCGGCCGCAGAGCTCTTTGGGATATCACCTGTTGCTGGCGCCCCTCGAGCGCTGCGCCTGCGGCGGCGGCATGAGCAGCAGCAGCAGCAGCAGCAGCAGCAGTTACTGCAGCAGCAACAGCAGCAGCAGAGACGCCGAACTGCAGCTGTGCGTAACCTGCAGTGCCGCGGAAGCACTGAAGCAAGAGAGAAGGACGGCAGCAGCAGCAGCAGCAGCAAGACAGAACAAAAAAAGCCGCTTGTTAAGCTGCATGCAGGCAGCAGCAGCGCCCACTCCCATAGCTCCAGAGACAGCAGCAGCAGCAGCAGCAACAGCAGCATACGCAGCGCGTCCAGCTTCCGAAGCCTCTCTAGCAGCACTAGCAGTGTCCCGGAGAGAAGAGAGCCAGCAGCAGCAGCAGCAGCAGCAGCAGGCAGCAGCAAGAGCAGCAGCAAAAGTAAGGTCTGCAGAGTCACTAGCAGTAATAGCAGCAGCAGCAGCAGCAAAAGCAGCAGCAGCAGCAGCAGAACTGCCGTACCGTTGCTGCCTCGCTTCCCCAGCGCACACTAGTAGGCAGCAGGAGCAGCAGACCAGTGCGTTGCTGCTGCTGCTGCTGCTGCTGCTCCATCGCTGCAGCAGCTGGCTACACAACTGCTGCTGCATATCCTGCAGCCACTGCAGCAGCAGACCGTGCAGCAGCAGCAGCAGCAGCTGCTGGTGCTGCTGCTGCTGCCGGGACAGCCGACAGGCGACTGCGGTGTACTCGCAGCACTTGGCTCCTCGCATGCAGTGACACTCTGATGGCAATTCTGAATTGCTTAGGGTTCAGGGTTTAGGGTTTAGGGTTTAGCGTATAAGGCTTGGGGTTAAGGGTTTAGGGTGGCAGCCAGGAAGCCTTACGAGAACCCCCTACAGAAACCCTAAACCCTAGCTGCGCTGCCCAATGGCTAGGCATTAAGCTCTCACCGTAAACCCTAAACACAAACCCTAAACCCTGAACGCAAACCCTAAACCCTAAACCCTCGCCAGCTGGACCCGGAGGCGGCGCGGCTGTGGCCGCGGCGCTCCCTCTGCGCCCTGCAGAAGTTCTGGGGTCTTCTTTTCTTTTTCTTTTTATTTAAATGAATTAAATTTACAATTTAAATCAATTAAAACAATAAAACTTGAAAAGAACACTGCGGGGCCCCCGCAGCAGCAGCAGCAGCCGCAGCAAACCAGGGGGCCCCATCTGGGGGCCCCCCGCTGCAGCAAAGAGAAGCAAAAAGCCCTTGTTGCTGTTTGCTGCTGAATATCGAATTGAGTTAAATCTGCGCAGTTCAGTCGCTGCATTGCCTTGCTGTTGCTGCTGCCGTGGCTGCAGCGAGGCGCAGCAGCAGCGGCAGCAGCAGCAGTAGCAGCAGCAGCAGCAGCTGCTGCTGCTGCTGCAGCGAGCAAATCCGCAGGGTGAGAAGCAGCTGCATGACTGAGACAGAGACCCTAACAAGTTTTCCAGGTGGAAGGAAGAGTCTCACAGGATCCCCCGCCGTTCCCTCTGCTGCTGCTGTTGCTGCTGCTCCTGCTGCTGCTGCTGCTGCTGCAGTAAGCAGGACAGCGGAGCTGGGGGAGCACGAAATGGCCCTTCGGGGGCCCCTGCTGCTCCCTCAGGCGCCTCTGCTGCTGCAGCAAGTACCTGGCTGCAGCAATAGCACCTTGTGCTGCTGCTGCTGCTGCTTCTACCCCAGGGCTGCCGATGCCCCATCGAAGCCGCAGGCGAGGCCGCTGCAACATGCAGCAGCAGCAGTGGCTGCAGCAGCAGCAGCAGCAGCATCTTCAAGCAAAGCATGGTGTGCGACAGGAGCTGCAGCAGGAGGGGCTCCTTGAGGAGCAGCTGAATGAAAAATCACAACAGCAACAGCAGCAGCAGCAGCAGCAGCAGCTTCCGCTGCACTACAGAGCTGCTACAGCAGGCGAACCAGGTTACTGCCGCAGCAGATCAGCTGCAAATGCTTTTGCTGCTGCTGCACCGGCTGCTGCTGCTGCGAAGCCCCGCTGCAGCAGCACTGGGAGAGGAAAAGACTTTGGCTCTCGTGCTGCTGTGGCAGCAGAAGTGCTGCTCCCTGTAGGAGTGCCCCAG